GAAGGATGAAAAGTCGCCACTGCCTCAGCGGCAGCCTGCAACATGACAGGACACGTGTCACTGTGGAGATTCATCAACTTGATCGTCATGTGGCCACAAAATGGAGTTGATCAGGTCAGGAGCTTGAGGTTGGTGTTTGTCAGTGTAAAAGATGGCATTTCCTGTTTCTATAAGGGGGCGCCATGAGCAAGATTGCCTCCGAGCATATGGAGGCGTTGAGGGCAGGGCTCTTATCATGTACAGAAATTTCGAAGCAGTTTGGATGAATTATGTGGGAGAAAGAGCTGCTTGAATATGCATGGTGATGGATCAAAAATGGAAGCACCATAGCAGCCACGCCCTTTGACCTACAGACATGCAGAGCAAAAATTTCGATCAGCATGGTCTCTGGATGATCTGTCAAATATTTGAAGTCGATTGGATGAAATCCCTAGGACTAGTTCATTAAAATACAACATGTGGAAATCATGCCAAAATGACAAGTCAATATCAAAATGGCCGACTTCCTGTTTGGAGTAGACCATTGGTGCCAGAGACTTTTACGTGCGTCTGGACAACATACACATATGTACCAATTTTCATTTTCCTACTCCAAAAAAGACCCCTATGGGGAGGGTTTTTTGAAAATTTCAAGGGGGTGCTATAGAGGCATTTTGTCCCCCTCATGGGTGACGCCCGTATCAGATGAAAGAGCTCGCCATTCTTGACCTGTGTATCAATTTTCATGAGCATATGAAGTCGCTGAAGCCATTAAAAAGCCAAACGTATTTAGTGGCAAAGGAATGATAGTCGCCACACCGCCACATGGACACCATTAGACGTAGCTTCACAGCGTTTATAAGGTAGCTTCACCAACTTGTTCTGCATGCATTAGAAGTGGAATGAAGTTGATGCGGCCAAGTCTGTGGCATTAGTACATGTTAAAGTAAAAACGGGACACTTCCTGTTACCACCGGGGGGGTGCTATGAGTAAGGTGGGATGTTAACATATCGGGGCGTTCGGGGTGGAGCCATCATCCAGCAAGTTTGAAGCTGCTACGATCAAGTATGTGGGCGGGAGAGTTGTTTGAAATTCGATGGCAAGAAAACGAAAAGTCGCCAAAATTTGTCACGCCCTACCGGCCACGCCCCTTGACATAGAGAAAAGCTTTTAATAACTTTTGATCAGCATGTTCTCAGGATGATCTGTACCAACTTTGAAGTTGATAGGATGAAATCCCTAGGACAAGTTCGTTCAAATGTAAGTTGTGGAAATCGCCGTAACAAAAAAATTCAAAACAAAATGGCTGACTTCCTGTTGGGATTTTACCATGACTTTTTTGTGCGTCTCAGTATGATACATGTGTGTACCAAATTTCGTTTGCCTATGACAAACTAACCCCAATGGGAAGGGTATTTTGAAAATTTGTAGGGGGTGCTATTTCGGCATTTCGCGCTGACCATGTGCAACCGCCCAAAAATATTGAATTTCGGATGTGGCCGGACGAATGTGGAAAGTTAGAAGCATTTTCAAATATGGGAAAGGAGCGAAATTGGGGCACGAAATGTCGCAAGAATAATAATAATTAAAGCTGCAAGCAGCGATGAATGGGCCCTCGCAGTCCACGCGCGTTGGGGCATACTGCTGTTGGGGGGCGTGCACCTAGAAGTCTTGTCAGCTGTAATAAATAAAAAAATAAACGTTATCTCTTACTTACATTTCCAGTATACAGGTAGGCACCCAACCCACGTATGTATTTTTCCAAAAAGTAGAAGCTGAATACATGCCCAATAGTTCAAGGTCTTCTGACTCTTTAAAAGTTGACATGGTGTCTCTAGCTCAAAGTATGAGGGACAAGAAGAGGTTGAAAGTCGAGTTTTGAAGAGGATTTGAAGGTTTTCCAATTTACTTCCATTCACATTAATTAGACTGCCACCAGAGCGCCACCTATTGGCCGATTTGCACCGAATTTTGCACAAACCCTCATAGGGCCATGGAACACAATTAGTAAAAGTGTAAAAGTGTATATGAAATACTGTCTGTTTTGAAAACAATGAGCAGGAATTTGTTGTTTTATATTTTGGCCGTTTAATGGACGATCAAAATTCTTTTAATAACTTTCTGTCATGAGGGTTGACAGATGCTACATGCAAAGTTTGGTGCAAATCGGTCAAATCGCCTAGGAGGAGTTTGAAAAAGTACATTTTTCATTTGTAGCGAATGGAAAGTTACCGCGAAAGTGGGCGTGGCTTACACCACACAATTCAGCTGAATTCAGAGAACATGTAAATAGAAGGTTTAACAATGTGCGACATATTATGTGGGAGTTATTAGCCAAAAACGCTTTTGCATTGAAAATAGCAACACCTGCTGGTCATTTTTGGTGTGAGAGTTACAGAGGCCAGTATATACAACACCTATCAATTTTATTTCCATGAGTGTTATGGTGTTGGCACAGTGCCAAATATTAAATTAGACGGCCACCAGAACGCCACCTAGTGGCTCATCAGTAAGTCCTTCGTCAGATATCCTCAGGAGGGCATTGACAATAATTATACCAAGTTTCATGTTAATCCGCACAACCGATGTTGAGATATGAAATACTTCGATTTAAAGAGCGCCACCTTGTGGTCATCACCCGAAATTTTGCACTGAGCCTCAGGGCCTCATCAGGAAATAGTAAACTGAGTTTCATGTCATTCGGACACACCAGTATGGAGATATGCAACACTTCCTGTTTTGTACTAAATCTGCAGGAAGTTGCTATGTAATAACTTGAGTATTCTTTGGAATATTGAAATTCTTTTAATAACTTTTTGTCAGGAGACTCCACAGATGTTGTGTGCAAAGTTTCGTGCAAATCGGTGAAATTGCCTGGAGGAGTTCGAAAAAGTAGGTTTGCAACATTTTGCGAATTTGTGGGAAAAAAACACCAGGCGGAAATGGCCGTGGCCTATATCACGAGATTCAGCACAATTCACTGAACGCGTGGATATAAGGTTTTTCAATGTGCGACAAAGTATATGGGAGTTATGAGCCAAAACGCACTTTCCTTAATAATAGCACCACCTAGTCGTGGAAATTCAGGAGGACAATAGATTATAAAATTTTTCGCCAGGTGTGACTTATATTCCAAGTTTTGTGAGTTTTGGGGTATGTTCAGGCAGTGAAAAATGCGATCATATGGGCGGAAGAAAAAAAATATATATAAATAATCATATTTCAGTAGGGTCCTCGGACGACTTCGTCTTCCTGAGGTTTCTACCATTTTTTCCCCCGTTAAAGGTTTTTTTTTGGGGGGGGGGGAGTTTTTCCTTATCCGCTGTGAGGGTCCAAAGGACAGAGGGATGTCGTATGCTGTAAAGCCCTGTGAGGCAAATTGTGATTTGTGATATTGGGCTTTACAAATAAAATTGATTGATTGATTGATTGAAACATAACTAAATAGGAGAAGACCTAGGATTAACACCTTAATGTTGAATGCCCCTACCAGCCAGTCAAGTTGTAGTTACAGTTTACATCCATGTCTGTCCAGACTCATAGGTAGCCATGACAGTAAACAATGCTTCAATTAAAGATGTTGTTGCAAAGAAGCTACAAATTCTAAAGCATGGATGCATCATACAGAGAAGATCTATACAATCAGCACAGTTTTAAGATTAGTATCACCAATGCAGCATCTGACCAAATGTCTCCCCTTCTGCTCCTAAATTATGTGCTGAATCATAGCCAGAAAAGATTTTTTTGCATTTTGTCATAATCAGATAGAATTGTTTGAGTTATGGCCAAAAACGTGTTATTTGAGGTCACAGGGATATTTGACTTCTGACTGCAAAAGTCAGCTCATCCTTGAGTATAGGTTGACATCTGAAATCTAAAAAAATTCCCTTACGACATTCTTGAGATATCGCATTGACAAGAATGGAGTGGATGGACAAATGGACGGACAACCTGAAAACACAATGCATTCGGCCACAGTTATTTCTGACACAGAGGCATAAAAATGCACAACAAAAATGACACTAAAATTTTCCCAATGGAAACTAGACTAAGAGGTTTTTAGCTTTTGTTAACTAAAACTAGCAGTGTTGAACGATAACTAAAAAGAAAAAATGATAAAATAAAAGAAAATAACGTGCATTTTCATCAAATAGCTAAAACTAAAACCAAATCAAAATGAACAAAGGTGTGATGAGGATGAGGAGTTACCTGCAGCTCAGCATTGAGTCGCGGCATAGAAGCAGCTTTGCCCTGGTTCTCAAGACCTGAGCCAGGTACTGGAATTACACTAGTGGCACTGGTCTTCATTTTCCTCATCTCCACTGACTCCTGGACACGCACGTGCACGCACGCACACACACACACACACGTACGCACACACACACACACACACACACACACACACACACAATCCCCTCAGCATCAGTAGGGGAATAATGGTGGGGCAGACTAATTGTTTTTAATTTCTCTTTTTCTATTTATTTCACCTGAAGCAACAGTGTTGTTCAGCAGTCTTTTCAAACAGACTCCCAAAAACACAGGGCAATGTTTACATAAACTTAGTTCACCCTGCAAACACCACACATAAAATACATTTTCAAATAAAGGCCAGTTTTCAAACAATGATCTTACATAATAACCATGAGACTCGGAGCAGCAGAGTGGTGAGTAATGCTGTTTTTCAATATACATGTGCTGACTTGACTTGGTTTGATTCAGCACGTCAGCACACTGCAGCAAGGATTTGTGTATCCATGGGCCACACAGTGTGGAAGCAGTGCCAATCATGCGGGTAATTTCATACTGCAGAAATAGAGCTCTTTTGGCTTCATGTGCCACTGAGCAACTTTCATTGGAATGAATGGGGTTCCGCCTCCAATGCTGTATCCAGGTCTCTTAATGCATCCATGGACTACTTGCTTGAAGGCATGTCTTTAAGTGATGATGGCTTGTCTTTAGTTAATGACGTTTAAAAGCAGTGGGTGGATCCGTGGTTAAAGGTCCCCCATTGTTTTGCTTCAAGTCTTTTTCAATCAAACAGCAGGGCAAGTAAAAGAAGTTTACCTGTTGGAGGTGAGCTGTTTGCAGAGGTGCAGTAAGAGTCTGTTGTCTGCAGGTCTTCATCTAACATCTCACTGTGGCTGTCTCTACTTTAACTCTTCCTTTCTTTGATAAAAGTAGTTTTTTTTTTGAAGAAGAAAAGTTAACAAAATTCTGCTAATTTGGTTATAAACACATTTAATTTCCTATAGATTCTTCACAATAAAAGTCCCCCGTCATTTTGTAATATAAAAGGACTCCTGTACAGCTGATGGTGAGCATGAAACAGTAAAATAAAGCAGATATCTAAAATACAAGTAGGACGGAGGAGAGAAACTTAACTCAAAACCACAGGGATTCGGTTAGAAACTACAGAGCTAAACACAGAAAGAAAGCCAGAAGTGTCAGTGTAAAGCCCTGATACGACTCTACTGTAACAAGGGAATTAGTGCTGTGGAGCTGCACATCATACTGACTGTATCAAGACAACAGATAAACAGGGAGAAAGTGGCAGCTAATTAAAAACCAGTGTTGGGAACATTACTTTACAAAAGTAATTAGTGATAGTTACTCGTTACTTTCCCCAAAAAGTAACTGAGTTAGTAACTAAGTTACTGCACTATAAAAGTAACTAATTACCTAATTACCCCCCCCCCCCCCCCCCCCCCCCCCCCATTAATGGAACTGTATGTAATGAAACTCAACTGTATGTAATGAAACTCAAAATTGAATATGCTAAATGAATGAAATTGACACCTAATAGAATAAATCATCATTATAAAACATTGTACACTTATCTACACTAGTTAAAGAACCTCCATTAATCGCGCAATTTAAATGTGAAAAGTCTCATTGACTGACCATCACCTGTGTGTATGTGGAGAAGGAGAGGGTCGGAGGGAGCGGAGCTGTGGAAACATCCTGCAGTCCGACATACTATCATGCGTTTAAATAACTTATTAGATGGATACATAAAGGCGACATTTAGAGAGCATGCCCGAATAAGCAACTCCACTTTAGAAACAAGCCCAAAAAAACGCAACCCGCGACTTTACAAAAAACAAGCCCAAAGTCGCAGCTAATAAGCAGACCTGACAATCCTGCTTGTGTGCTTGTGAATACCCGCCCTACTCTGCCTTTGATTGGTTTATGATCAAAGTATGTCATTACATTTTTCAAACAGTATTCTAACTTCTGTAGAAAATTCTGTCACTTCACATGACTCAGCCAGTCAGAACTGGCAGTTTCTAGAGACACATGAAATGTACTGACTATAAATGGCTGATGAGTGAATGAGTAAAATACAGTTTCACATACACAGCACATGTTAGGAATGTGTTTGTTTACAGTACCTGAATGACGGCAGTGTCCGTGGTGTCCTCTGATGGGCCCCTGGACATGGTTCTCTTAGTTTTAGCTTGGGGCACTTCCTTGGGTTTCTCCACCACCCATGAGGATGATGCTCTGATGTTGTGGTCATGTCCTGACCTGTGGGTTTTACCAGTCACAGCTCAACATAATAATTATACAATGTAAATCTGAGTCAGTGGTTTACATTGACACTCAGCGGACACCCAAATGGAACTTAATTTGATAACTTCATAACATTTCATAATTTTCATTCCTACTGATGAATAAATGTGTGTTAGCGGATGGGTGAAACCTTGACTTACTGTAGAATAGTCATTGATATGTTCTGTAAGTATTTTTATTTTTTTCTCTCAGAATTGTAGGGGTCTCTTGACACGATCAATACCACCATCGACCACCATCATACAATGTTACATCATAGGTAATCCGTCCATGTGTGTGGAGATTTTCAGCTATACTGGCTGTAGTATATCTATGAACGCTAAATCAAAGGCTAATAGACTTGTGGTAGACTTCTCGAGGATGTTTCTGCTCTCGTCCAAAAAGCCTCTTTAGTTTTGACTGACTGGTCCCTGCTATTAAACAGAATAACCATCACTCAACAAAGACAGAGTTCAACGACACCACCTAACAGCCACTTACAAAGCTGTCTTGACAGTCTAAAATACAACACACATTACATCATTGGACACCCGTCAGTGGCATAACTGGATGAGTTGACTTGTACCAGCCTACAATGATGCATATATTCTCTCTCATATGCCGTGACCAACAGTGTCTTGAGATCAGTCTTGGTTTTGTCGCTGATTACAACCAATCTCCTCCTTTGGCCAGCTTATTATACCAGTGAGGTATCTGATGACTGGCAGGGCGCACATGTTGATGATTTGGACCTTGTTCTTTCCGTTCAGCCGACTTTTCAGGACCTGCCTTACTCTGTGTAGGTATTTGGCTATGGCTGACTTCCTCGTGGCCTCCTCAGGGTTTCCATTTGCCTATGGGATCCCAAGGTATTTGTAGCTGTCCTGAACATCTGCATCACCTTCCCTCTCTTTGACACCATCTGACCATACTCATCTAGTCCAAATGACATTCTGATGTCATTGCTTTAGATCCTGGTGAGGTGGATCAGTGAGTCAATGTCTTGCTAACTCCTGGAAAACAGCTTGATGTCATCCATGTATAGGAGGTGACTAATGGTTGCTCCACTTCGAAACCGGTATCCGTAGCCTCTCTTTGTGATGAGCTGGTTGAGGGGGTTCAGGCCTATGCAGAACAGTAGCAAGGACAGTGCATCACCTTGGTATATGCCACACTTGATGGTAACTTGAGCAATTGGCTTTAAGTTGGCCTCCAGAGATGTTTTCCACAGCCCCATTGAGTTCTTGATGAAGGCTCTCAGTGTCCTGTTGATGCTGTACATTTCCAAGCATTCCTGTATCATGTGTGGCATTGAGTTGTAGGCATAGGCGTTTCTAGACCATTTTTGGGGGTGCTGAAGCACCCCTAAATTGAATCCCAGCACCCCTAAAATTTGAGAGATTTTTTTTAATTTTATTTATTTTTTTTTTACTGTATGTCCCTTTTTAAAAAGCTAGAAAAGTGTCAAAACTATACAGTACTTGGTTGCAACGTAATATTTTAACAACAAAAATACAGCAGCACCCCCCTTGCCTCAAAAATGGTTTGATCCACCCCATCCCTCCCACCTTTCCCCGACTCGGGCTCTGAGCGCTCTATCTGCACAGAGCAATGCGCTCCCTTCCAGAGTGGGTGATATGCAGTAGTGGTGTAAGTATCTGGCTTAAACCAGGATATGTGGCACATTTCCTAACTTCTACCACTCAATACCAACACATTATTATCATTACCAGTCCTCATTTTTGCTGCATTTAATCGTAGGTCACTGTTTATGTTGTTAGGTAGGAGTTAGCTGATGTTTTTTCTAGCTAGGAAACCTTACAGGTGGTCAGTACCACTGTCCTCTGAATTGGAATGAGAGAAGCTAGCTGTTGTGTCATGTGCATGTGTTAATATTAAAGCCAAGGTGCTACTGACTAGCTAACTGACTGGATGCCCATTAATATTATAACTCCTATTATGTGTATTTATTATTATTATTTTGTAGATTTCAAGCACTTTTCTTTTTGGAAGTGTTTTATTTATGTATTTGTATTATATAATACAGACAAGAAGGAAAAAAGCAGAGACAAACATTGAAAAAGTCAATTACTGTTAATGTGTTAATGTTACATGTTGTGCATTGCATTTCAAGTCCAAAAAATAAGTCCAAGGTCCATTTTTGGTACTCACTATAGGGGGCTGGTTTACTCCAGAAATATACATACTGTTTATGTGTATGTTGAGGAGCTGCTGTATCAAAATGAGTTATCCTCCCCTAGAAATTAGGGTTACGATGTTTCTTTTATGATTCCAATCCATTCTTCTTTTGCTGTGGCTCAGGATTTAAATAAACTTTATCAGATTTGATGGTTTAGTCAGACTTTCCCAAAAAGTGTTGTGCTTTTCTTTCACAAATGAATGAAATTTTAACGCAATGAAATTGCGTTAAAATGTACAAAACAGTGAAATTTATCTTGCCTGGCCGGGCAGCTCTCTGGGTACTCAGCACCCCTAAACCTCTGATCCTAGAATCGCTCCTGGTTGTAGGCATTTTGTAGTCAATCCAAGCGGTGCACAGGTTGGTCTGCCTGGTCTTGTAGTCTTGGGTGACTGATCAACCAGTGGCTGGTGCTTGGCTACCGTGGTGTTACTACCAATTCCCTTCTGGGCCTTGCTCATGTATTAGGCCATGTGCCTATTTATCCTAGCCGCTATGATGCCTGACAGGAGCTTCCATGTTCTACAGGGGCAGGTTATTGGGCGGTAGCTGGACAGGACCGTGCCCTTCTGGGGATCCATGGGTCAACCACTTTGGATGGGTCCCATCCATCAGCAGCTGGTTCATTTGTGCAGCCAGGCATTCATGGAGTGCAGTTAGTTTCTTTAGCCAGTAGTTGTGGATCATGTCAGGGCCTCAAGAAGAATAGGAGGGCCCTCCGTAATGCCAGAGCAAACTATTACTCATCATTAATAGAAGAAAATAAACAACCCCAGGTTTCTTTTCTGCACTGTAGCCAGGCTGACAGAAAGTCAGCCTAATGAGCCTTGTATTCCTTTAGACTTTAGCAGCAGTGATTTTATGAGCTTTTTTAATGACAAAATTCTAACTATTAGAGGCAAAATTCATGACCTCTTGTCCTCAGACAGTACCTATCTGCCCTCAAACACAGCTGTAAGACCTGATATATGTTTAGATTGCTTCTCTTCATCAATGTGTCTCTTAGACCCCATCCCAACTAGGCTACTTAAGGAAGTCTTACCTTTAGTTAACATGTACATATTACACATGATCAATATATCTTTATTAACAGGCTATGTACCACAGTCTTTTAAGGTAGCTGTAATCCAGAGGTGTTACAAATATAGACCAATATCTAATCTTCCCTTTCTTTCAAAAATCCTCGAAAAAATAGTCGCAGACCAGCTGTGTGACTTTCTCCACGATAATAATTTATTTGAGGAATTTTAGTCAGGAATTAGAGTGCATCATAGCACTGAGACAGCACTAGTTAAAATTACAAATGATCTGATCTGTTCTGTACGACATCTATTGCATGTCTGTCCGTCCTGGAAGAGGGATCCCTCCTCAGTTGCTCTTCCTGAGGTTTCTACCGTTTTTTTTCCCTGCATCTTCCTGCACCTTCAGGCGGGGGGGTTCAGGATGCTGGAGAGGGAGCTGGGCTCTCTAACCTCCCAGGTTAAAATAAAATAAATTGAATAATCTACAATTTGTTGACAGCGTTTCTCTCATGCGCGCGTTCTCTTTCTCTCTCACAGTCTCACTCTGTTTCTTTTCTTTTGGCTTTTCTAAGATGACAGATGCTGAATATATACTCCCTATCTGAAGCTGTGGCTGTTTGTGGTTGGCTGAGAGGGATGTGAACTTATTAATTTGCAGCTGTGTTAATCAAATCAGGTTGGGTTTCCATTACGCGTGCCAAATGGTGCCAATCCCCTTTGATCTGATGTGACGGGACAGTCGATATAGAGATACATTTATCATCTCCTCAGCTGTAAAACGCTCACTCTTTCCAGTTGGTAGGTCCGCCATCTAACTAGCTCTCCGCCGTGCGCTCCAATCACGCCTCTTTTAAAGGGAATGAGAGGTGACACTCTGATTGGCTTATTGAATGATACGCCCAAAACACACCCATGACTAATTCACAGAATAAGTCAAACCCTTTTAGACTCTCCGCCATGGCTGAAAACGCGCTGTCTAACTAGCAAGTGACTGGGACACGCCCATGCGCCGCACACCTAGCGCTTTGCGTTTTAGACCATCTAAATAAGGCTCCAAGTCCTCAAAGACAAGTGAACACAAACCGATGGCCCTGCGTGACAATGACAGCTTTGACCATGATGCAGGCACTTGGATTCATGTCAGTGACCCATCCTGTGAGAGGGACCCAACTGCAGACAAGATGGCAGACAAGGGATGGGATGGATATCCACAGTCCTTACCGGAAGTTGGTCTTCTTCGTGTATATTATTCCATACCGGAAAGGCGCCGCCATTTTACATCAAATCCCTACCAGAAGTCACAGAGGAAATTGGTCTGTGTATTATTCGCTGAAGAAGAAGAAGAAGAAGAAGAAGAAGACGACGACGATGGAGAAGATGAAGATGAAGACAAAGACGAAGAGAAGAATACGAACAATACACGCACGAGTAAGAGAAAGAATGGTAAGGGAACGAGCCTTTTAATTATTAGAATTACACAACTTTATTGTCATTGTACAATGAAATTCTGTTTGGTATTCAGCACTAGCAGTACTAGCTAGTACCTGGCACTAGCTTAGAGTACCAAGCCACTGCGTTTACACGCATCGCCATCTTCATTATCTTTTAACACCTGTGTTATGTTGTCTAAGATGCAATTCTACGTAATGTATCGAATAATTAGGGGGACGTCTACATGGGGAATCTCGGCATGCACAAATTACTACCACCGGATGGTGGGTTTAGCTACATTTGTTGTGTAAAAACGAGGACAT